TAGTTTCATTGAGACATTGTTAGTGCAACCATATTGTTGATGGATATACGTCCACATATCCCGCAGTCCCAAAAGTTTACTTTGTCCATTCAAATAGTTAATAATCTTTTATTATATGGTCGTACTAACCTTATTTTATATCAGCAAAATTGGCAGTTTATACAAGTTCATGTGGGTATTATTAATATGAGTTTAAATTATAGTAGAAAATAAGATCAAAACTCACCACAAGAGATATTAATTTACAACAAGCATTCTGAATCACAATATTATAACATAAGCTGATTGATATTTAACCTCAAATTGATTGTGACACACCATCCAATTTGTGATTCAAAATTATATTATTTTTATTATGTGACACAAACTTGTCCGCCATACTACATGTGCCATTCTTAAAATATGTATATATGAAAAGCAAATATTGAGACACGCAGGGCCTAGACGAATCGACATATTGATGATACATCTTTAGATAGGGTGACTTCATTGCTTATATATATATAAAGAAATAAATATCATGATTTTTGTTATTATAAAAAAATTTTGTATCTTTATTGAAATGATAATGTTGTCGAATCCCTATAAATTTTTATTAAATGAATTAGTACATAGATGCTCTGCTCTTGTTTTAGTATTTACTTCGTAATGTTATTAGACCCATAAATACCATTAAATTGATTTGTATTTGTAGTGGAGTATAATTTTTTTTTTTATGATCGGAGTGTCCGGACTAGCTTGCGCGTATCTCAATTAAGTCTCAAGACCTATTGAACATCCTATAAATCTAATGTTTCAAAGTAAACAAAAAATATGATAGCATACTATTATAACATTGTAACTTGACAATTGTTATATATTTGTTTAGAGAATTCAACTCTATTAGACAAGAATGGAGGTATTAATTTAGAGAATGGGGTGGATTTGGGGAGCAAATTAATTCCTGAATTAAAATAGGGACGTGATGAATTTAGTGCTCACTATCTAGGACCTGTACCGCTCCTAGATGTATGATATATTTGTTTTTTTGTTATTTTTTTTGTTTTTGTTTTTATATAATAGGTAAAACACCAAGATATCACACTGATTATACTTAAACTAAATTTAAAAAATAAAAATATATTAAATATACCCAAAACCTAATAAAAAATCAAAAGAATAAGATGGATGGTAATGAACCAATAAAAGCCATTAAATTGATTTAGATAGATAGTACAATATAATGTTTTTGCGTTGGGTACTATTATGACATATATAGTATGATCACTTATATATATATAATATTTTTTATTTTTTTTTTTTTATGTTGGGGTGTCCAGGCCAGTTTACCACCACTAGTAGTCCTCCAAGACTTTAAAACTACCGGCCGGTAAAAACTCTATTGGCTACTAGTGTACCATTATAACACAAAGAAGGGACTCAAATTTGGATCTTGAGTAATACATTTAAGAGTTCTATCAAACTGCTCGATCACCCAAAAGTAGTTGATCATATTGTTAATCGATGAGAATTAGGGTATTTTGTTTCTCTTATGCACGTAAACAGTGGCAGATCCATTGAATGACAGTGGGGACCACAGTCCCACTCAATTTTTTTAAAATTTCAGACTTTATATTTATTTAAATTTGCCCTACTGAACTTGTGATTTGGGAACGGAACAACCCCCACAGTAAGTTTGGATTTTGTTTTTGTAAAACCCCTTTTAATCTAATATATAAATTTATATTTTTGTGATTTTTATTTTTATGCAAAGGATCTATTGTTTTTAAAAGTTTATTAGGAGAAAAAAATGAAAGGAATAAGAGCTGTCGGGTTTGCATGTAACTGAGGGGAGAAATCTGTGCCTTTTTACAGCAAAAGGATGTGGAGGGGTCATAATGGGAATAAGAGAATTTTGAGGCAGTTTCATAATTCAAAGAAGCTGTTTATATATAAACTGAGTTGTTCGCCCAAAAGAAGAAGAGAGAGAAAAAACCATAAAGAAGAAAGAAGAAGAAGAAGCAAAGAAAAAAGAAAGAATGGGAAGAATGGGTTTTGCCAGTTTTATCCACCTGATTTTTTTGTACTTGAGTTGATGGTACTTGAGAACCAGTGAGACTTATATTATTGACATGCGTTCTTGTGATGAATTGTTGAGTTACAAGGATTTGGTGATTTGGCTAAGAATTTAGTTTGGTTTAAAAAAGAAATTTTGTATCCAATGGTGTATAAGTTTTGGAAAGTTGCATTGGTTTTACCAGTTACAACTACGACTGTTGAAGAAGCTTTTTTTGCAATGAATCTTGTGAAAAGTATTACGATCAGAATAAGAGATCAATGGATGAATGATTGTTAGTCACCCTATATTGAGAAAGATGTATGTTATACAATTGACAATGAGATGATTACAATGTTTTTAGAACATGAAAATTCGTTGAGGACAATTGTGAAAAAATTGTTTTATTTTTACAAAAGGTTGTTTTTTGATATATTTATTTGTATTTTGTAACATTTTGTTGAAGCTCATCGTAATGAAAAAAAAAAGTATGGTTATGATTGGTTTTAATTTTTTTTTTTGCCCCTATAGAGTGAAATTCCTGGATCCACCACTGAACGTAAATATATTTTAAAAAATGTGAATTTGTTAGAGGCATTAAGAAACTGGTTACTATCATCAAAAAATATGATAGTGTTTGCAAATGTTAGTTATGAGGTTTATGCGGGTGGGTGGGGAAAGGTGGTTGTGGTTGGAGATAAAAGAGTAAGATATTAGGAAGAGAATAAGAGAGAGTAAGTGTAAAATTAAATTGAGTGGTTAAAGTTATGTCTACGAATCTTCCACGGTGACAAAAGCTTTCTTTTATTTCAAATCAAAAGTTTTCATTAAACAAATATTAGTCACAATTTGTTGTTGGTCGTATTGAGATTTTATTAGGTGTGTTTGGCGTGAGTGAGAGCTCATTCCAACCATAAGTTTATTAGAGTTGCTTGATTAATACACATGCATGCACTATAATTAGTGGTTGATTATCATTGTTGATTATTATTGTACTACCTAACCTATTAATGTCAGATTTTGGTGGGTTTGTAGGCCACCTTAACCCCATATATAAGTATGTGATGTATTTGGACTTCATTCATGTCTTTGGTTGGTTGGATATTTTTAATTTCTACTCAATATTTATTCTTAATATTATAAGCAACAACAATGGACATGCTAAATAAAAGGAATAATTTTCACATTGTTTCCGTTAGGATATTAATTTTAAGGTTTAATGGACTGGATGAGACTAAAATTATTGTGATAATAATGAAGCAAAGTAAGTAATATAACCTTTCCCCTTGTGGTCGGATGGCAAGTCTTTTATCTACTAGAGTTGTACCCAGGGTCTTGTATTCTCGAGTGATGTTTCATGGTTCTAAGGATTAGGTAGGCTCGATTGACAGTTGTGTCCGAATACTTCAATTACTAAAAAAATAAAAGCAAGTAATATTTGTGTCATGTGATTTAATTATAATGTTGCGTTTGGTTCGGGATGATATAAGATTAATCTTGTAATCTTTGTTTAATTTTCAAGATTTCCTTGTTTGGTTGTCAAGTAATAGAATATTATGTAATCTTTTATTGCAAATAGTGTTTACTGTTGGTAATATTGGGGATAATTAAATTACTTTTCCAAGGGGTGTTAATATAAGATTACTGAGGTAATCTTAATTTTGACCCTATTTTGCCCTTAATCTTTTATCATTTTCGACACATTTGCCCTCATATGTCTACCAAATAACAATTACCCAGACCCCTTACATTTGAAAATATAGCTAAAACACCTCAGCCACAAAAAAGTTTAAAAGTTAACAAAATACCCCCAACCACCCAAGACTATCGCCGACCGCCAGCCACCACCGCTGGTTGCCAGCGAAAGTCATCATATCGGGGTAAGACCAGCGGGATCTTGCCGGTCGTGTGCCGGTAAAGACGTTTCCAACCATGGATTTGTGATCCATGGCCGAAAACGAACAGATCTTGCCATTTCACAGCCAAAGATGTTGTTGTAAAAAAGCCAGATCTTTGGCCGTGAAATGGCCGCCGTTTCACGACCACATCTTTGGTCGTGAAACATCCATATTCACAGCCAAATCTAGCCATTTTTGACCATGGATCAAACGGATTAGGCCTTACCGGCGCACGACCAGCCAGATCCGGTCGGTCGTGCGCCATTACGGCAACTACCGGTGATGGTGGCTGGCTGTCGACAGTGGCTTAGGGTGGGTAGGAGTGATTTTGTTACAAATTAAAGTTTTATATGACTGGGGTGTTTTAGCAAAATTTCAAATATAGGGGGTCAAAAGAAATAATTTAAAAAATAATAGAATAAAATAATAATAAAAATAATATTATATTATTATTTAAAAAAGAGGGCAATTTAGTAATCTATATAACATACCCACTCATTTATCCTTCCAACCAAACATATTATTATAGCATACCCATCAATTTATTTCAACTAACCAAACACAATTCTTTAAAGATTCGCTGATAATCTATCTTTCCAGTAATACAATATTCCCTAAACCAAATGCCCCCTAAGAGCATTTGGATATGATATTTTTGTAGGTAAGCATTTAATCCAAATGCTCAATCTCTTTTGTTATAAGATCAATATTATGATTTTATATTTTCTTGCATCAATATTATTTCTGATTTTTATTATAAAGAAATGTTATTTCTATATTAGATCAAATTATATAAATATATAATTTTATACATAAATTTGAAGATAGAAATATTTTGAAACAAAATTTACAATTCTTTTTTTTATATAGAAAAGTTATTTATTTTTTCTTCATATTATAATGTGAGAGCTACTAAATCTCTATTTCTATATAATCGATTATTATTGTTGTGGGTTTATTTCATATGCTCGTATAAAATCGTTTAATATTATAAAACTTATCTACGGTTATAGAATTTTCTCAACTTATTTGATTTTTTTTCTTTTTCTTGTGTTGAAAAGGAGAAAATGATAGAAAATCTTTCAATTAATCAACAAGAATAATGGAATTGTTTCACAATCTCTTACATGTACTTTGTATATTCTCACAATGAATTTAGACCTACATGTATGTTATAATTAAACTCTTCTCACCATGGAAATGAGCTTCCAACTTCACAAGTTAAAATTTACACACAAAAAATTTCCTAGTCACCATTCATTCTTTCCTGAAACATTTCACTTCTGTCATTGTTGTAAACATTGGCTAGTTCCTATACTTCCATTTGTTGCAAGTTTTGAAAGTAAAGCCCTTAGCTTCATTCCATGAGACCTTGGCTTCACGGCATCAATGTTAACGTTACTCCCCCAAGTTGAACATACTTCTTCTAGATTAGTGTTATTCTTTCCTGGGCCTGATGAGCACCATTTTCCAGGAACAACTCCATTGGCAGAGCGATTCAGGACGTTTTGATCGATCTTTTCGAGCACTGGATCACCTTCTTCAAATTGTCTGGCAAAGGCTGCTCCACTTGTTAACATTTTATCATATTCTGATAGCTTCAGGATTTGGGGTTCTCCAGTTAAAGTGGGGTTGTCCCAGATCATGAATCTGAGATCATTGTTCACTGTGGTGTTTTGGAACTCCAGAGAGTTGCATATGACTGTGTGGAAGTATGATTCGAGAGGAAATGCTATATTTGTCAAGAACATTAGCAATTTTCTTGGGAAATTGTCCCATCCATGGACACAATGCTCCATGAAAGGTCTTGTAAGAATCGTCCAGGGTGAGCCTTTTGACAAACATACTAAGATATTTAGAAGATTTACCAGAAAAAGAAAAAAATAAAACCAACAGGGGTAATATTACTGAACGAAGTGTTTGTAACATGAAACGTTATGCTGATATTATTAAAATCGACGGTGGATCTACCTAGAGGACAATAACATCTATGTTTTTCATACAGCAACTATATTTCTTGGCTCTGGCATTGTAGCTGCCAATCAAGAGTCTCAAAATCCAGCTCCATTCATGCAAAACGTAGAACTTATAAAGAAACACAACTTATAAGTGTTAAAAAGTGTGACATTTTATGTTACGAAAACTCGATTGCAGTGCTCAGAATAGTACCATATGAAACAATGTTACTACCAATTATCCAAATATACCCCACTTGAAAGAAGATGAAAAATGAAAGGGAACTAACCTCCAAAGATCTTGAAGGCATCTGGGGTTGTCCGAGTTTCTACTGCATACATAAGTGGAGTAGTTTCTCGATAATACAAGTTGGGGTCTATAACAATCTGGTTAACCTTTAGCCGCCTGCAACAAAATTGGTTCCATGTTCATTAAGTTTCAGAAAGAAGTGATAAAAATACCAAGATGAGGAAATTTCAAGTCCCCAGAAGATTATATTTGTGTTGCAAATGTGCAGGGAGGTTTAGCGGACTATCAAATCAATTTCACATGTGTCAAAATCAATCATCAAAAACCTCTTGGAGAATTCTGAAAATTGTCTAGAGATCTTTGAAATTTCACAAGTGAAGATCTCTTTCCAGTTTCCAAGTGGATCCCCTACCATTAAACTATACCTTATGAGAAGTAAATTTAGGTAGTCTGAAAACTTGTAATGCATACATCGAATAATTTAATGCTCTTCATGGACTAATCTATCGTCTTTAATTCTTCATTTGATCAAGAAAATAAGGAAAAGATATAAACTAAAAAGGAAAAAAAAAAAAAAAAAGTTTTCTTACTCCTTCCAACCAGTGTTAGTAGTATAATCAATGAAGTTGAGATCCCTTGGCAAGAAAGTGAAAGCATGGAGTAGATCTGCAAATAAATCAAACACCAGCAATTAATGGAGCTTAGGATACTACATTCATCGCTAAAATTCTCCAAGCATTACTTCGATAGGAAAAATAGTATTTTAGCATTCTCGATATTCTAATTCAAATAAACTCATCTCAACAATGTCAAATTACCATTGTTTAACACACTTGCAAAACCTCAAGCCAGAACAGATCACACACTGAAAACAGAAAATGTTTCACAGGATCTCAATTTATAAGAGATTGATGAACTTGGCTTGGATGAATAAGTTGGAAGATTTCTAAAATGGGTTTTTATCCTAGAGGAAGAGCATTTGAATAAGCTAAAATTCAAGCAACCCCTTTGAGTGCTTGAAATAGCAGAGCAAATTTGTCTCTCAATAATCAGTTCAATTCGATTTATAACGTCTAACAATCAAATTACAGAAATAATTTAATAGAAGATCATTTACCGTCTTGGCTCATAAGAGGATAATCAGAAGCACTCAATGGAATAAACCAATCCCAATCAGAACCAATCTTGAGAAGCAAAGCAGCAGCATGAAGAACCGCAGAAAGAGCAGAAGCCCCCGTTTTGTCAAGGGGATAACTTTGTCCAACAACATCAACATTCCCAAAAGCTTTAAAAACACTTTCAGATTCAACAGAGAAAGCCAACTCCGCTCTCTCAATCTCAGACGAACCGGCATCCAGCTGCAACAAGTATTGATTCCTCGGATGATAAATCGCCTTCAAAAGCCTCAAAATCCTCTTCCCATCTCCATTACTTCCACATATCCAATACGCCAAAACCGGAGGATAGCCGGTGCCCTTTGAGGGAACTCTTGCTGATGCTTGAGACTTAAACCCAGAACCTGTAAAATTGTCACCAAAATTTGATCTTGACAAAGTTGCAAGAAGTATCAGAGTGATTAATAAGACGAGAACCCATAATCGGTGACCTGAAACCGTAAGAAGTTTAGAAGAATTTGTTTTGAACAGCCTCATTTGATGAGCTCAGTGTGAATGATCATGGAAAAATATAATACAGTGGAAACTGCTGAGAGTTTGTGAAGAAATGTAAAGAGATGAAGGAAGGTCAAGTGGGTAAATGCAAAATTTGAAAAGCGAGATTACTGGAGTTATTGTTTGAAGAGATTCATTTCATAGCAGAGTCAAGAACAGAAGCTGAAGGTGAAGCAGGGCAGGGGGGAAAGAATACAAATATTAAGACAAAAAAATATATTATAGAAATTAAAATATTAGATTTTGTCTTAACATATTTAATGAATATAGACAAATAATTGTTTGATAAATACTATAAACTATAAAATAAAATAATGTATAATATTAAATTTATTTTATATTTTTCGATTAATTTCTTTTATATGCTATGAGATCATTTGATTTGAGGGCACAAACCTTTAAAACTATCAAAAATACTTTTCTCTCGAAGGCTTCTTTTTTTTTTTTTCTTTATAATATTAAATGTTTTTTTTATAATATTACAAAATTTAGATGCTTCTAACCAAACGATCTAACAGAAGATTTATGAAATTAGAATAAAATGTAAGTAAAAATTTATCTCTTTTGCGTATATTATGTTTTCTTTTTCTTTTAAACTTGAATGTTTAATTTGAGCATAGAAAAATCCTAAAGATTAAAAAAAAAAAAAAAAAAAAACTGGCATTCCTAACATGAGATAGATTGAAATTTGAGTTTTGTTGTACTCTATGTCAAGAATAAATATTGAATTAAAAAAGAAAACAGATTAAAATTTGTTAACACTTAAAAAATATTATATATAAAGGGATTTAATTAAATTTTATATTTTTAGTTAATAATTATTTATGTATAATATTTGAAGTTTGCGTTTTATTAAAAAGAGAGAGAGAGAGAAGTTGGAAACCACCAAACTAACTTTAAATAAAACTTGAAATGTAAGGAAAATGAGGAGGTGGGCGAGAATCCAATCAAAACAAGGCAGAGAAATTGTGCTAAGTTGACAGCAGGCCTTTTGAAAGAGACCTTCAGTTATGACTTATGACTTATGAGCTGCCTCTTTTCTATTGGTTCTTGTCATGTTTAATTTATTTTTTCCAACTTTTATCTCTTATTTTTTATTTTTTGGGTCCTATCCTAGGTCTTCTTTTCATGGTCGGTTTCTTTGATTTTATTATTTAAAATAAATAAATCATTTTAGTCTATTTGTTCTAGACTAATTTGAATAGTATTTACCTAATATTGAAAATTCTCTATAGTTAGCCACAGTATTCAATGATTAGTCTTAATCAATAGGGCTCCATCATACAATCGGCAACAAATTTGTCTATTGAGCTCTTTATTTATTATTATTATTTTTATAGATAATATATATCATATCGAAAATAATGTAAATTAATAGTATTATACGACTATTTTTAACTCACATTTTCCATCCCTGCTATTAGGATCCCTGCGATCCTTTATAATTGGACTATCCCAGATAGATTTGATTGGTTGTGCATCGATCTGTCTGTTTTCGACCAAATTCATACGGCCGTCAACGATGAGCAGATCTATGGTTATAAATCTGACCGTTTCTAGTCAGATCCACGATGAATTTAATCAAAAAAGGTCAGATCGACACACGACTGATCAAATCCAGCTGGTCATGTGCCATTCCGACGACTTCTGGCCACTGTCCGATAATAGTTGGGTAGATGAGGATGTTTTTGTCCATTTATAAATTTTTATTGTGGAGGGTGTTTAAATAAATCAACAAACTTAGGGAGTTAAAATAATATAATATTTTCTAAAAATGTACCAAAAATATTCTCAGAATCCTATCATATATTTCAAAAATGCTATTCAGAATAGAATGCTATTCTATAAAATTAAACAAGTGGAGCCTTTATAATTGGTCTATAAACTGGTCAAACACAAAATGACCTGAACAAATCCTTGAGCATAGATAGCTGTAGCAATTCATAATTGCAAACATACATCAAAAAATTGAAGACCTGAAATAACAAGAAGAAGAGCAAAATCCATAAACTTTACCAACATAAGCTAAACTCTCAATGTGTTGAATAACATCATACCATTGATATCGTATTGCATATCTATTCCGCTTGTTAGAACCACTTGGCGCAAACTGATGAAGCGTCTCGAAAGTCTTTGTCTTTGAGATTGTATCGACTATCGAATTGCTTTGCTGGAAATATGAGTCATCATCATTCTTTTCCCTAACCACTCACAATATTGAAAACCAAAGGCTATGTAGATTAAAATAACTATAAGGCGTTTCAGGAAATGCTGTTGCTGTAAATCAATCTTAATAGCACTTTTATCAATTCCATGAATGGCAAATAATCAACAATATAATTCATATTTCTATGCCCTAAAATTGCATAATCTTAAATCCCAAAAATCTGAAACTTTGATTCATTTTCACTATTTATAAAACCAATAAAACATACCTGAATCCATGTGTAATCTTTAAATGAGATTGTGAAAGAGGAAACTATATATCTGTCATTTTGTTCCCTTATTATCAATCTCTTCTTTTGATGGATAAGAAAAATATGTATAATGAATTAATTTGGGAATAAAGAGAGAAAACCTCTTTTATATGGCAGTTCAAAAACTCTCAAACTGCAGTTATTTAATTAACTATAGTAACCTCTCCATCAAAGGTAAATGGCCATCATACCCTTCAATTAATTTAATTATTTCAAAACAACTATATGATAAAATTAATACATGAACCGCCTTATGAGAAATATAAAATATTTCTAACATTCTCCCACTTGGTCCATGTAAAAGTAAATAACTTTATAGTTTAGAAATAATACATAATGTGTACACAATAATAATTAGCCAAAATGCCATTTCTTAAAATGGTCAAGCATATAAACATTATTAAGCAAGAACTCATAAGGATCATAGCGGTCGTATGTCATTGAATCAACACAATCCCTTCAATGTACCACGTTACAAATTCTATATCCAGAATAATCTATAATGATACTTAATGGTCCAACAATAATATCCTTATCAAGGACAAATTCTGTCATCTTTATCATTTATGTATACCAAACAACATAATATAAAGAAACACATAATAGAATAATTTATATGAATTAGAAACAACACATCAAGAGCTTAGAGTGTCCAAAACACGAGGAGCATAATGTAAATCAAGAAACATATACAACACATCATAAATCAGTCATGACAGGCAATAATACCCATCCTCTCAACGTGCTCACTATAGGTCTTAGGTGACAACCCTTTAGTCAGCGGATCTGTTATCATAAAATTTGTGGTGATATGCTCAATAGTCACTCTCTGTTTTTGAACTTCTTCTTTAACGGCAAAATATTTCAATTCCATATGTTTAGCACCCTTTGAATATTTGTCATTTTTAGAGAAGAAAACTGTTGCGGCATTATCACAATAAATTTTCAGTGGCCTGGCAATACTGTCAACAATCCCAAGCCCTGAAATAAAATTCCGCAGCCATAATCCCTGAACTGTGTGCCACAAATTTAGCCTCCATAGTAGAAGCAACAATGACATATTGCTTCGCACTTTTCCACGAAACTACTCCTCTAGCTAACATAAATACATACCCAAATGTGGATTTCCTGGTGTCTACACAACTAGCGAAATCTGAATCTGAATATCTAATTACCTCGAGATAATCAGATCTCCTATCAGTAAGCATATGATCTTTCGTCCCTTGTAAATATCTCAACACTTTCTTTGCAGCTTGCCAATGATCCATTCCAAGATTACTCTAATATCTGCCCAGTAAGCTGACCGTAAAACTAATGTTTGGTCTAGTACATGTCTGAGCATATATTAAACTTCTGATAACATATGCATAAGGAATATGCTCCATTTGCTTATATTCCAATTCAATCCGTGGGCATTGCTTAAGGCTCAACTTATCACCTTTCTGAATTGGAACTGGACTCATAGAGCACTTATCCATATTGTATCTCTCTAGTACTTTATTGATATAAGCTTTTTGAGACAATCCCAACAATCCTTGTGATCTATCATGAATAATTTTAATTCCAATCACATAAGATGTCTCACCCATATCCTTCATCTCAAAGTTCTTAGAAAGAAACTTTTTGGTTTCATTAGGGCTGTGCAAAACCAGGTACCCGCTTCGGTTTTGACCAAAAATTGGTTTGGGTACCTCCAAAAATATACCTGCTAACCGAATCGGTTTTATAATACCCGGTTTTGCGGATACCCGAAAATTCTGGTCACAAACTGGGTATTCGATTTTGTTACCCGAATTTCATTAAAATTACACAGCATATTAGGAGAATGCAGAATTATATCACTTTGAAATTCATGTGTGTCAACTGTCAATCTTAACTATTATTCGACAAATGTCCAACAGAAATCATTGAACCATACTAATCATTAATCAAACACATTCCAACAAAAAAGTAATCTCTAAACCATTATCATATATTCCCTGGGACCAATTCTTTTAATGCAGACCATATTGGAAGAATGGAAACAAATTACTTTCTTCAATTGAGCACCGATTTTGAGTCTTGACAAAATAGATCACAGGGGAATCTATCCTGGTAGAAACCAAAAAGAAAATTCTGCATAATTTCATTCCAGCAGTCCTATATATACAGACTCAAGAAATTAGCACAAAACTTCTAATGACTGAAGCAAATAATAAATTTATATGGACCACAACCACATCTAATCATATATATTCCAAAGGATATAGAAATGCAAAACTTAAATCTTATTCGTGTAGTATCATTAGTTGCCACACACCATCACTTTTAATTTAATGCCTTCAATACTTAATATTAATATACACCAAATCAAATGTAATACTACGGCAAACAACTTAAGATTTAATATATTAAGAAGAAATGTCTTTTACATTTAATCCACCAAACATAATATTGCAGCAACAAACACTTGTACAAAATGGCAAAATGCCCCAGAATTCACCCACAAAGAGCAAACTTATATAGCAGTACCGTAGAGCTGGCCAAGAGAAATTACAAGTTGAAGTATGTAGCTGTAGACTTTCCTTTAGCTATAGCAATCCTGCAGAAATCAGTTACCTAGGACCATCATTCGTATGGAGTTTCAAAAATAAAATCTGATTGTGAATGAAGTGAAGTCTTACACTGCTAGAAGACTAGTAGGGCCCTCCAGAATTGCAGTTAGTCCTTCAACAACAACAACTCCTGCATCTC